TTATTCATGAAGCAGTGGTGTGATATAAACCGTTATTTATGAAGCAGTGGTGTGATGTAAACTGTTATTCATGAAGCAGTGGTGTGACGTAAACTGTTATTCATGCAGCAGTGGTGCGACGTAAACTGTTATTCATGAAGCAGTGGTGTAACGTAAACTTTTATTCATGAAGCAGTGGTGTGATGTAAACTGTTATTCATGAAGCAGTGGTGTGATATAAACCGTTATTTATGAAGCAGTGGTGTGATGTAAACTGTTATTCATGAAGCAGTGGTGTAACGTAAACTGTTATTCATGATGCAGTGGTGTGATGTAAACTGTTATTCATGAAGCAGTGGTGTGATATAAACCGTTATTTATGAAGCAGTGGTGTGATGTAAACTGTTATTCATGAAGCAGTGGTGCGACGTAAACTGTTATTCATGCAGCAGTGGTGTGATGTAAACTGTTATTCATGAAGCAGTGGTGTGATGTAAACTGTTATTCATGAAGCAGTGGTGTGATGTAAACCGTTATTTATGAAGCAGTGGTGTGATGTAAACTGTTATTCATGAAGCAGTGGTGTAACGTAAACTGTTATTCATGATGCAGTGGTGTGATGTAAACTGTTATTCATGAAGCAGTGGTGTGATATAAACCATTATTTATGAAGCAGTGGTGTGATGTAAACTGTTATTCATGAAGCAGTGGTGTGACGTAAACTGTTATTCATGAAGCAGTGGTGCGACGTAAACTGTTATTCATGAAGCAGTGGTGTAACGTAAACTGTTATTTATGATGCAGTGGTGTGATGTAAACTGTTATTTATGAAGCAGTGGTGTGATATAAACTGTTATTCATGAAGCAGTGGTGTGATGTAAACTGTTATTCATGAAGCAGTGGTGTGATGTAAACTGTTATTCATGAAGCAGTGGTGTGATGTAAACTGTTATTCATGCAGCAGTGGTGTGATGTAAACTGTTATTCATGAAGCAGTGGTGTGATGTAAACTGTTATTCATGAAGCAGTGGTGTGATGTAAACTGTTATTCATGAAGCAGTGGTGTGATGTAAACTGTTATTCATGAAGCAGTGGTGTGATATAAACTGTTATTCATGATGCAGTGGTGTGATGTAAACTGTTATTCATGAAGCAGTGGTGTGATATAAACCGTTATTTATGAAGCAGTGGTGTGATGTAAACTGTTATTCATGAAGCAGTGGTGTGACGTAAACTGTTATTCATGAAGCAGTGGTGCGACGTAAACTGTTATTCATGAAGCAGTGGTGTAACGTAAACTTTTATTCATGAAGCAGTGGTGTGATGTAAACTGTTATTCATGAAGCAGTGGTGTGATCTAAACCGTTATTTATGAAGCAGTGGTGTGATGTAAACTGTTATTCATGAAGCAGTGGTGTGATGTAAACTGTTATTCATGAAGCAATGGTGTGATCTAAACTGTTATTCATGCAGCAGTGGTGTGATGTAAACTGTTATTCATGAAGCAGTGGTGTGATGTAAACTGTTATTCATGAAGCAGTGGTGTGATGTAAACTGTTATTCTTGAAGCAGTGGTGTGATGTAAACTGTTATTCATGAAGCAGTGGTGTGATGTAAACTGTTATTCATGAAGCAGTGGTGCGACGTAAACTGTTATTCATGCAGCAGTGGTGTGATGTAAACTGTTATTCATGAAGCAGTGGTGTGATGTAAACTGTTATTCATGAAGCAGTGGTGTGATGTAAACTGTTATTCATGAAGCAATGGTGTGATGTAAACTGTTATTCATGCAGCAGTGGTGTGATGTAAACTGCTATTCATGAAACAGTGGTGTGATGTAACTGTTATTCATGAAGCAGTGGTGTGATGTAAACTGTTATTCTTGAAGCAGTGGCATAGTGGACACTGTTATTCATGAAGCAGTGGTGTGATGTAAACTGTTATTCATGAAGCAGTGGTGTGATATAAACCGTTATTTATGAAGCAGTGGTGTGATGAAAACTGTTATTCATGAAGCAGTGGTGTAACGTAAACTGTTATTCATGATGCAGTGGTGTGATGTAAACTGTTATTCATGAAGCAGTGGTGTGATGTAAACCGTTATTTATGAAGCAGTGGTGTGATGTAAACTGTTATTCATGAAGCAGTGGTGTGACGTAAACTGTTATTCATGAAGCAGTGGTGCGACGTAAACTGTTATTAATGAAGCAGTGGTGTAACGTAAACTGTTATTCATGATGCAGTGGTGTGATGTAAACTGTTATTTATGAAGCAGCGGTGTGATATAAACTGTTATTCATGAAGCAGTGGTGTGACGTAAACTGTTATTCATGAAGCAGTGGTGTGATGTAAACTGTTATTCATGAAGCAGTGGTGTGATGTAAACTGTTATTCATGAAGCAGTGGTGTGATCTAAACCGTTATTTATGAAGCAGTGGTGTGATGTAAACTGTTATTCATGAAGCAGTGGTGTGACGTAAACTGTTATTCATGCAGCAGTGGTGCGACGTAAACTGTTATTCATGAAGCAGTGGTGTGACGTAAACTTTTATTCATGAAGCAGTGGTGTGATGTAAACTGTTATTCATGAAGCAGTGGTGTGATCTAAACCGTTATTTATGAAGCAGTGGTGTGATGTAAACTGTTATTCATGAAGCAGTGGTGTAACGTAAACTGTTATTCATGATGCAGTGGTGTGATGTAAACTGTTATTCATGAAGCAGTGGTGTGATATAAACCGTTATTTATGAAGCAGTGGTGTGATGTAAACTGTTATTCATGAAGCAGTGGTGCGACGTAAACTGTTATTCATGAAGCAGTGGTGTGACGTAAACTGTTATTCATGAAGCAATGGTGCGACGTAAACTGTTATTCATGAAGCAGTGGTGTGATGTAAACTGTTATTCATGAAGCAGTGGTGTGATGTAAACTGTTATTCATGAAGCAGTGGTGTAACGTAAACTGTTATTCATGAAGCAGTGGTGTGATGTAAACTGTTATTCATGAAGCAGTGGTGTGATGTAAACTGTTATTCATGAAGCAGTGGTGTGATGTAAACTGTTATTCATGAAGCGCTGTGACCACATATAAACCATCTGTCTGTACAGGCATGTGCCTCCAGGTAAAACCATCGATGGAACCACAACATCATTGTTCCTGACACTAGTAGGAGATAGAATCATGGTCATTTGTTTTTTCAGCTTTTTAAAATTTACAATAGTGTATATTGCATATAATTGTGAGTGCTTCCCAAACCATAATTTTACCACAAAGTGTAAATCATACATGAAAATCTCGTATCATCTGAGTCTAAATGCCACTGAAAAACACGAAGCACAAAACTTTCAAGCACAAGACCATCAAGCACAAGTTTCTCCATGCCAGCACTTGAACATATGCATTTCTACATTTCAGCACCAACAAATCTAACAGGTCAATAAACTCCTGACAGATTAATATACACTTATATTTGAAGTTACTTCTATCCAATGCATTTAAGTGAAATATTTGAAAGAAACTCCTCACTCAGCAATCTTGTCAGCTTTCCACACCAATACACTTAAATCTCCATCAGCCATTAAAAGCTATTATTCAAGTGCTGTGAAGTGCCTTCTCAACGCCATATTACAAGTCGGTGATTATCTCAGCAAAACAGCTCTGGTGAGGAGATGTGACAGGCATCAAAGAAGACCCCGTTCCTTATTATCTTAATTAGTTCTAATATCACTGAGTTTGCCTGTAAATATCAAGTATGTTAAAGTAGACATGTTTCAGGCTGGAAACACCCTCTTTCTTCTGTGTTCAGACATCAAACCCCAGATAGTCCTTGATATCATAAAAAGGTAATAATGATGCTACCATTTTTTGTTATTACATGTAATTATGTTGCAGACTCTCCTGGGACTTAAAGGCAGTTTGTTTTTCATGTGTATCAGTTTAATCAAGCTGAAATTGAGGAATGTGGGTAAATAGGTGTTGAAATTCTTGTTTGGCATGCACACATTTCATGCAGGCCCTGGTACTGATGCTGTAGGAAGACGTCATAGAGCACAATGGCACTGATCATAATGTTAATATATAACATGTGGGCATTTTAACAAGAATTGATTGTCAAAGTTATTGACAAAGGTTCTGTAATCTATCAGTTATTCGATGAAACATACACCAGCAGGGGTGGAAATAACTTTAAAATTGCTAGTGTACTCCGGAACAGTGGCACATGTAAAATCACTTGCCCTGAATTTTTTCCACTATACCGGATGTTTTCTTGTTGATTTTTTAAAATAAACAACATAATTAACATTGGAAAGTCAACTGGATCCGGTACAGTGTGAAATACAAATTTGCTTGCCCGACAGAAAAAAACCAACTGCACTCGGACGTTGGGCAACGGGTTATTTCCACCCCCTGACCAGCTGTATCTTGCTGACAAAATGTGTAAAGCAAATACAACATGGTCAGGACTAAGGAGCTGCCCATATAGTTATCTCAGTGTAGGGTGGGCAGGGTGGAGAGGCTGTGGCCCTGATCCACAAAGTGTTCATAACGTTACGACCTATCGTAACTCTGTAGTGTATCAGACCCGTGAAGGTCCGTGTTAGAACAAGCCTTCAGTAACCCATGCTTGTCGTAAGAGGAGTCTAACGGGGATCGGGTGGTCAGGCTCGCTGGCTTGGTTGACACATTTCATCGGTTCCCAATTGCGTAAATCATGCTGTTGATCACTGGATTGTCTTGTCCAGACTCGATTATTTACAGACTGCCACCATATAGCTGGAATATTGCTGAGTACGGCGTAAAACTAAACTCACTCACTCAATCACTGTAGTTTAACATAGGCTTACGATTGTCGTAGCGCTACGAATGTCTTGTGAATCGGGACCCCAGAGTTTTCAGAGAGAAGAATTGCTTTGGAGCGAATCATATTTCAAAACATCATAGACATTCAAAAGATTAGGAAAAGTTTGAAAATAACTATTGTGGTTCATAAAACAGTTCGACACATGAAATGAACTGCTTACCTTTAATGAGCTTGATGGCCACTTTCTGGTCACAGTAGTACCCTGTAACCACCTTGCCAAAGGCACCCTGACCAAGTTGAGTGCTGAATTTCAATTGCTTGGGGTCAAGTTCCCATTCGTCGCTAATTACCATCAGCTGATTCGAGTAATTAGACTTGCCAGCTGAAAACACAAAAATGGGAAATATGTAACAACAGAAATTATATTTGTCAAGTTTGAGTGTTAAAGATGTATGAGTGTTTCAAAAAATATAGTGTTTAATGCTGGCGTCATTGCTGCCTATCACTGTCTGCACAACACAAACCAGTGGTTGATGTAATGAGCAGCTATTAATGGTGTTGGAGTATGATGCCAGTCAGCCATGCCACAGAGTTTGGGTTTTTATGATGGACACATTACCCTAGAACATATCCTGGAATTCTCTGAGAATATCATGTGACATAGAGCAGGAATGAGCGAGCTATACATAATTCATTTAGCACATACCTCCAACGTTAGACTTGTAGCTGTTGCTCTTGGTAACAAATGTCTTGGTGATGATAATATCCTTGAAACTCTTCCTCTTCTTGTAGAACAAAACCACAAAACCAACTACGATGAGGATGGTTGCCACCACGACGCCAACTATCACACCACTCAGAGTACTTAGATCCTGCTCTGAAAAAAGAAAGTGAGACGTCTCGTAACATGATGTTAGGTGTGACGATGTATGAGATGATGTAGTGTCAGGTGATGTCATGAGTGCCAATGACATGCTTGATGAACATATGTGAGATGACATCATGTAAGATGACAGTTTAGAATTTATAGTGACATAAATCTATTCAGCACTATTTAGTTAGTTTTCACTGTAGTTCTACTCAAAAGGACCCTGTACACTGTATCTGTACGACAAATGGACCCTGTACACTGTTTCTGTACTACAGGACCCTGTACACTGTAGCTATACTACAAATGGACCCTGTACACTTTCTGTACTACAGATGGACCCTATACACTGAAACTGTACTACAAATGGACCCTGTACACAGTAGATGTACTACAAAAGGACCCTGTACACTGAAACTGTACTACAAATGGACCCTGTACACTGTAGCTGTACTACAAATGGACCCTGTACACAGTAGCTGTACTACAAAAGGACCCTGTACACTGAAACTGTACTACAGATGGACCCTGTACACTGTAGCTGTACTACAAATGGACCCTGTACACTGTAGCTATACTACAAATGGACCCTGTACACTGTAGCTGTACTACAAATGGACCCTGTACACTGTAGTTCTACTACAAAAGGACCCTGTACACAGTAGCTGTACTACAAAAGGACCCTGTACACTGTAGCTGTACTACAAATGGACCATGTACAATGTAGCTGTACTACAGATGGACCCTGTACACTGTAGGTGTACTACAAATTGACCCTGTACACTGTTTCTGTACTACAGAAGGACCCTGTACACTGTAGCTGTACTACAGAAGGACCCTGTACACTGTAGCTGTACTACAGAAGGACCCTGTAAACAGTAGCTGTACTACAAATGGACCCTGTAGCTGTACTACAAATGGACCCTGTACACTGTAGCTGTACTACAGAAGGACCCTGTACACTGTAGCTGTACTACAGAAGGACCCTGTACACTGAAACTGTACTACAGAAGGACCCTGTACACTGTAGTTCTACTACAAATAGACCCTGTACACTGTAGCTATACTACAGAAAGACCCTGTACACTGTAGTTCTACTACAAAAGGACCCTGTACACAGTACCTGTACTACAGAAGGACCCTGTATACTGTAGCTGTGTGCTACAGAAGGACCCTGTATACTGTAGCTGTACTACAGAAGGACCCTGTATACTGTTGCTGTACTACAGAAGGACCCTGTATACTGTAGCTTTACTACAGATAGACCCTGTACACTGTAGCTGTACTACAAAAGGACCTTGTACACTGTAGTTCTACTACAGAAGGACCCTGTACACAGTACCTGTACTACAGAAGGACCCTGTACACTGTAGCTGTACTACAGAAGGACCCTGTACACTTTGATACATCACAAGAAGCAGACAGTATGACTGGCATTTCTGCAAACATATGGAATCAGCCGTGAGAAGAGATTTCTTTTGGGGAAGGTCTTTTTTGATGCATGTTTGGTCTTCAGCAAGCAGGTCAAGCTAACTACATCTATAACTTCAGTACCTCCTGTATGCCGGTCTATTAATACCAGGTGCACGCATCTAGGACTGCTGTCTGCACCCAACACCGCAGCACGCTGCACATGCAGCTCTACATATTGCCACTGGATTATGCCGTGTATCTGAGATCTTGTCGTGTTTGGTGAACATTTTTCAAAATTACTTCAAAAGTAAAAATCTGTAACCACAGATTGTTTTCTCGGGCAATATGCCTCCTTCAGAATTGTTTACAGCAGTTTTATAAGGGTTAGAAAACATAAGGTATTTTCATTCCTATATGAAAGTACTTGCATCATTATCTAAGCACAGAGCATTAACTGTTGTTGGGAATATCAACAAACAAACAGTCACATCGCGGATGACTTTTACAACAACACAAACACAGTTAACACTCCTTGCAAAGATTGTGAAGATTGTGTAGGGCTCAAATGAGTGAGAGAGTGGGGTTTAATGACAGCGAGCAAGCAGTATTCCTGTTATACCATGGCCGAATGTAAATATGTGAGTCTGGAGCAGACAATCCAGTGATTGATATCATGAGCATCAATCCATGCATTTAGTATATGATGATGTGTCAACCAAGTCAGTGAACCTGACCACCCGATCCTGTTAGTCATCTCTTGCAACTACCATGGGTTGCTGTAGACCAATTCTAACCCAGATCTTCACAAGCACCACACTAACATGAAACCAAAACTAAGATTCGAACCCATGATCATTGGTTATAATTAGTCACGTGTAAGGGTTATGGCTCTAAGACTGACTGACTGACTGAGTTTGGTTTTAGCGCCGCTTTTAGCAATATTCCAGCAACATCACGGCAGGGGACACCAGAAATGGGCTTCACACATTGTACCCATGTGGGGATTCGAACCCAGGTCTTCGGCGTAACGAGCCAACGCTTTAACCATTAGGCTACCCCACCGCCACTATGGCTGTAAGAGAAGTGTATTAGCTCTCCAGTAAACCAAATAACCAAACGCAGCAAGTACAAAGACTGTTCCTAAAGTAACAGTAGATTGGACTGACTATCAACTTACTGTGAGGCTGTTTGATTGGTTGAGCAATGACGGTTGAGGAACTGAGGTTTCTCTGGGTGAGGAGTTGTATAGCATCCGTGATTGAGCACGGCTCGCTGTAGTCATCTGTGTAGTATGCTGTCACCTGCAACATTAATACACAAATATAAGCTTATGTTTCCATAGTTACAACTATAATCAACCTCTTTCCATAGTTACAACCATAATCAACCTCTATTGGGCCGCATATTTGGCCTCGTGTTGATCCAGTACAGGTGCACAATCATTGTCCAACATGGCAGTATGTATGGCATTTTCAATCTATAATTGATCATAAGTGAATTATTGCTCAATTCTTGCATATTTACTATCAATAAAAAAAAATACAAAATACAATGATCTAGTGATTCAAGATTTCCCAAGGATGGCTCTGCAGTAAACAAATTCCATAAGCATAAAAATAACACTAATTTACTGAAATTAGTTATGATGAAGATCAGAGTAGAAGATCAGACTCACATCAATCGTATATAGTCTATTTGTTTCCAGCTCAAGGATCATGTGAGTCTGGACCGTTTCATTCTGGCCAGGCTTGGGGTTGTATTCATCATCATCCGTGTACCAGAACACTTGGTACTTCTCAAACACAGACTGGTTCAGGACACTCGTCCATGTGACGTTCACCTCCATCATCCCTGTCGAAGGGTTAAAGGTCATCTGCGGGTTTTCGTTGATCTGTAGCTTCAGTTCTTCAATATCTGGAAGATAATGTAGTTTTACTGACCAGAACTGTGGTATATATAAAATAAAAATAAATTTCTTCTGACAGGTTCAAATGTAACATTTCATCATACACTTTATCAGTATATTAAAGACATTCAATTAGTTCGAAAATCTGATCATGTCTGACACAATATTACATCTTGATTTATATCATATCTTTTGTGTTTTGTAGGTCAACAATTGACATGCCTTTTCATGTGTTTGTGATGGGTGCAGCCAGTGAGGAAGGACATGTTCCTCTTTTAATTAAACTGTCATCATCATCACTTTTTTGATAGTTTTCCATCACAAATATTCATGATACATTCAAAATCACACAATGGACTAGGAAAAGGTTTTGCCACTTTAGTTTACTATAATAGTTTTGTTAACCAACATAGCTGATACATACAAATCCTGATTTGTTTTCTGAGCTATTCAGCTACAAGATCCTTCCACTGAAATGATATCCTATTAAAAAGTGTGATATGTGACGAAAAAAAAACGTGTGTTCACGTACATATACTGTAAACGTAGTATATTTCGCGCAGGTTTTATTTTCGCGCTTTTCGCGCAAAACATTTTAGCGCGAAAATTTATACACCGCGAATAAACCTGTCATTCATTCAGTCTAGCCACGCTCGCCCCTGAGTTGTTACCATAACACATCACGTTTGAAGACAGAAATCAACGGGGAATCTTAAAATGACGACTGATCATACTTAACTGTCGCTGTAATGGATTTCTCAAAACATAATTAAATAATGAGCCAAATCCCATTGCCGAATTAGCGAAAACAGCAATGTGTGTTGTGGCCGCCATGGAAATTGGTCACATGACATGGTTTGATACAAAACAGATTACCGTGAAACGACTCGGAAAGAAATAATACAGCAGTATTTTATTTATTCATTAAGATTTTATTCACCAGTACATCATGAAGTGAATAGTCACTAACACTCAATCATCTCATTCACAACAACCCGGCTTGTTTGAAATCACAAAGAGCTTCATATACAGTATACTAGTAAGTTAATTCGTCAAATCGTCAGAATTCGGAACATAAGACTGATGTGTTTTTCATCTCTTCCGGGAGTAAACGGATTACTGTGTACTAGTATATCGCACAGATAGGGATTTCCTGTGATCAAGCAATAAACGCCGCCTGACAGGTTAAGCCACTCTGTTTGTTTTCACTGCTATTAGTGGCGGCCAAAGAGACAGCCGGCACATACTGATTGCGCGAATAATTGACCGCGCGAAGTAGTCTAAACTGTCAATTCCGCGAAAATTGCACCACGCGAAAATAAGTACGTTTACAGTATTTGTATTGCCAAACATTAGCACCAACCTGTGCTAGAGACTGTTTCAGGGTAGATAGTAGAGACAGCTAGACCTGAAAGAGACAACAGTTGATTAGCAATGTGTATACTTCTCAGGGAGAAGACAATAAAATTTGAAAACACCATGTAGAAAATTATCATACATCTCATTCATAGATTTCTATCATCAAATAATGAACACTGGTGAATGTAATTTCTTTGGAGACAACAAATGCTAAACACCGCAATATTCCTGCTACAATATTCCTGCTTATGACTGTGCAACATAACCGGATTACCGGTATTAACCAGTTAAGACATGAAAGCGATACATATTGCGATACGCTGATCGAAAACCGGTATTTTGACATGCATTCGGAAAACTTCGAAACATTCGGAAATCTTCGGATATTGCCTTGTTTCATTTGTGCCACATATTATTTACATTTTTATTTTGTCAGGATTAAAAGGTTTTATTAAAGCTTAATCAAACATGGTGATTTTGTTTTGTTTTTGCCTTATAAATCAACCATTAACTCGATTATAAGTAGTTTTTTGTTAAAAAAACTTCTTGCAATATATTGCAATACATATTGCAATATATGCTTTCGCATCGCAATATATCGCAATATGAAAATTCTCTGCAATACCCACCCCTATTCCTGATACAGTTAAACAGCTACAGTCTGGGCCAGACAAACCTGTGGTTGATAGCACGAACAATGAACCTAACAATTGGGTCAATGACAGTCAAACAACAAGGTCATATTTTGAAAACCCAATCAACATTATTTTACTTGGCTGTTACAGTTAACATGCAGTGATTGGCCACATTGGCTTCATTCCCACTGAAGATAATGTGGAGTATCTATGTTCAAGCTCATTAGGAAACTTACTCAGATTAGCAGGAACATTATCTGGGTTGTCTGAAAATAAGGAATAAGAAACTCGATTACAGCACTGAATATTAAGGTACCAGCAAACTCAGTGTCAGGATATAATAAACTTTCAATTCTTCAAATGAACCAGCTTTCTTTCAGTTATTTTCATGGTATTATAATGTTTATTTTTTTCTAAAGTTACATATTTCACATGTTTTGAGAAGTAAATATAAAATTATCACATTATTTACAAAACCAAAGTGTATAACTCAATTTTCAGAAGTGCTTGAAATCAAGATATTTTAATTTTCAGTAAATTCCATCACATAGATATCCTTGCTTTTGAAATACATGTATTCTCAACAAATACAGAATTTAACCAAGTGTCTTCCGAGATCAAATTTTTCGGTGAGTCACAATATCACTCAGACACTTACATGAGGTGACATTCTATTATTTTCAAAAATCACTCTTCCAACATTTTCATTTTTTTTGTACACATACTAAACGTTTTTAATGATTGCAGAAAGTACAGTTAACCTGCTTCAGTGGCAGAGAGACAAGTGATTTCATTTATTAGTGATGTCACGGTAATGGATGATGTTTCTAAGGTGATATTTCCTGATCTCACAAAGTGATATATTCAGTGGATGCCATGTCTGGGGGTTAAAATGTAGTTTAAATGTGAAACAGTATCAATCCACACAGTTGGACTCACTTTGTCCGAAGACATCCAGGTCATCGTTACAGGTGGTTCTGTCAATGCTCATCTTGAGACACAATGGCGTCTTGAATGATGTTTTCCCTTCAACTGCTTCTCCATGGGCATCCCTGATGCTGATTAACACGTTGTACAGGGAGTTTAACTCAATGTCAGGAATGCGGAAATTTGGCTGCGAAATGAAAAGAAAATACCTTGACTTGTAAAAAAACATATCAACCCTCTAAAATTACAAACAGTTAAACTCTTGGGTTTTTAATCTGTTTTGTTGTCACTGTGTTTATTACCAGCACTACTTATAGGTGAGTGGGTTCTACACTAATTTTCACAATATAAAGATGTACCTTTTCATGGTAGAGGAAATGGGTGGTCTCAGCAGTGTGGTACGGCAACGTCTCACAGGATGGAGCTCTTGGGTAGGCAGCACAGTCGGTGAGGAACCAGTTCATCTCATAGAAACATGGCTCATCGTTCTTGGCACAAGGCAGCACTTCAGCACTGGGATGGTTCCAGTCAAGGGACGTCTGAAGCTTGCCGGCAACCATCTTCATGTCAATGGTGATGTTCATGGGACTGATGTCTGGTGTGTAGGTGGCGCTCCGGCCATCCTCCAGGTGACCATTCGGGAAGGCATAGGCTGTAAACAAACATCAGCATCAGTACCTTGTGACTTGTGACTACTGTTAAACATACCTGTAAACAAACATTGCCATCAGCGACTTGTGATTACCACTGCTAATAATTACAGGGGTGGAAATAACCCATTGCCTGACGCCCGAGTCCAGTGTTTTTTTCTGTCAGGCAAGCAAATTTGTATATCACACTGTACCGGTGTCCAGTTGATATTCCAAAGTTAATTATGTGTTTATTTAAAAAATCAACAAGGAAACGGCTGGTATAGTGGAAAAATTATCAGGGCAAGTGATTTTACATGTGCCACTGTACCGGAGTACACTAGCAATTTTAAAGCTATTTCCACCCCTGAATTACCATATTATTTGTTTGTTAGGTGTTTAACATGCCACATAGCAATATCCCAGAGCTATGAGACAGTGGTCTTAAATAAACAAGCCTGCACCAGACAATCCAGTGATTGACATCATGAGCATCTAACTAAACAATTGGGGCATGCATGAACAAGTCTTAAGGACAAACCAAACTTGGCTGACAAGTCTTAAACTAAATTCTATGACCTGATTTTTGCATGTGAAGCGGCACTTACTTTCTTTAACAAAGGACTCTGGTGATAATTTTTTGGATCTGGCCACAATCCCTCTGTTGGAAACAGCCAGCAACTGAAACTCTGGGGGATCCGGCATGGTGTCAGTTTCGAAGCTGACAGCATGAGATGCTACCTGTTGTAGACGAAGTGAAAACAGTCAATAAAAACAAACATGACTTTTGGTCTCCTTCCACAATTAATACATTTCATTATGGTCATACATATTGGAGTCAACATAGGCAATGTTGTAATTCATGGCATCTCATATTTTTCATCTTATTTTGTAATATACAGTGCTTCCCTATCAAAACCCATTTGTAAAATATTCCTGGAGGGTTCCACCAATTGGTCAAGCTCAAACTTACCTTGTTGTCTAATGATCTTCTTGCTTTTATCTAATTGCTTTCTTTCTGTGTTGAACTATTTATTATATTATAGACATGTCTTCAATAAGAAGTCTATAAGTTCCTTTTAGCAACTTAAGCAACAAAGTTTGATGTATATATATTTGATCTACATTTCTTTTAAAGAGTGATGTGAAAAATAAAGTAAACATTTTGGAGCCATTAGGTTTTAGTGAGTATACTGTTGAACGGAAGTACTCCACTGAGGATCTCAATAACGACTCTTGTCGATGATCAATATAAGGTAATTGACAGCTAATACCTGTACTGGGATTAGTCCATAACCACTGGGGAGTGATAGGAATCGGATATGCTTATTGAAGTACCACCTGCAAAACATTAGCAACCCTGTGGTCTACTACTGGGCTCTTTAGGCGCATTTGACATTAATGCTCTCTCGAAAAGAAAGAGGTAGGAGGTAAGAGGGCCAAGTTAAATTGAAGAGCAATATCAACGTACATATTCAAAACTAGCCGAAACGAACAAGAGTCATAAAAGACACACATAGATATTCTGGTATTGATGACACTGACTGTTACGAAATTACGTAAAATAATTTTAAAAGAGTGTTCTAGGTATCATGGGCTCCTTTCACGAAGCAACGTTTACTAAGGTTAACTTTAACTCCCATTCTTGAACATTGCACTAAGGTTACCTTTGTGACTTACGATCACCGTGGTGCTTTGTGAAAGGAGGCCAATATCTATTATATTGTTATCCCGATGATTTGCTTAGCAACATTTGATTGGTTGTTCTAGATAAAATGAATTGTGATTGGTTCAGTAGGTTCAACCGGAAGTACAAGGTCACGTGACGATTTCTTCAGTTTCCCGGTCATTCTGTAGATTAACCATCGTCACACTGTAAAACGCAAAACGTCACTGAAACATTTTCTCTCTCTCTGATATTACTGATCTTTGTATTTCTAAAATTTAACTTCCTCAGAGGATAAAACATTACTTCCTGATAAAATCCCCACGGAACGCCTTGGATTAATATTACACGTATTTACCAAGGTGAGAATATCTGCATTTCATCGCAGATCTACGTGTAATTGTCCAAACAGATACATGAACGCGAAAATAAAAAAAATCTTAACAGCTTAAGGGTTATCAAATCGTACGTTTGGCGATAGAGCGACAAGATTGTATCTGCTGTAAACAGTAGCCTGTGTGGAGGAATGGTGTTATGTTAAATGTTAACCAGAAATACACACATGATGCTGTTTATAGGATATTATACACCAACAAGGTCAACATCTGGTCTCAATTTGCAGATTCCCTCATCTCAGCAATGTATAGTTTTGATGCGTTTACATTTCTTGCTTAAGGTGTATCTTAGAGTACGCTAAGTTACCTACTTGCACGATCGAGGAATTTGAACATGGATTACGAAACAGGTATGGCTCTTTCATTTAGGAGGTATTTTTATTGCAGAAATCAAAAGTAATTAAGGGATAGTAACGTGCCCACAAATACCTTTGGTGAATTATGTAAACGCCACAAATATGCGATAACTCGCTGCAGGGCTGTTCGTGTTTATTTCAACATGTACTAACTTAACCTATCAGAAGATACTGATACGTAGCATTTGGTATCGATACGATATCAGTTTTCGTGGAAACAATGTTGTCAGTGAGATGATGAAGTCGTTTTAACATCACCCACAGGGACGACAGATAACTCTCCCTCCCTTATTGTATGTAGGAGTATGTAATTATGTACATATAAGCAAGTGTATTTTAATTTGTATTTTAATCACTAAGTCTAGCCCTAGCTTAACCACTCAATCTAACCTGCTTCACTTTCACAATAGCACGGTCACCCTTGCGCTTACGTTGTCTATTGTCTCTATTGTCTTGCCCCAGCCCCAGGCCCCTTAGTTTCAATAGCAGGGTGTTTTGTGGGTCAGCTATCATTTTCACTTCAGTCTGTCTGGTCACTGGTCACAGCTAGCAACAGCTTATAACAGGTTAGTTTATATTTGGATTGTGTATTTTATGTTTTCATGTTTAGTGTGTATGTATTATTTCTTAGCTTCCTTTAAAGCATGTATCATGTTATATGTGGTAAATATTAATCAAATTAACTATCTGTTACATGCAACATAACTAGGTCTTAGCAATACTTTATATATGTAAGTGTATTGCAGGTAATCTTAGACAGCATTCCCACGAGGATGTTATCTAACTTATTGTGTAGGTAAACCTAATGTATACATCTACTTCTTTAAACTAATGCGCCAAACTTTGCATGTATGAATGAATGTATGTATGATTGGATGAGTTATTAGAACAGATATTTTATGTACAGTAGATTGATAATGTACAGATGTAGAATGTTATATATTATTGCATTTGTATATGTTTATGTTCAGGTGTGGCAAACATAGTTCCTGACGTTTGTGACGGTAACGGGCACAGTGCCATACACTCGGTGAGGGTTCTTTCATATTATATTGGAAATATTCATGTTATGTACTTGTGTGATGCTACACGTGTATCTTGAAATATAAACATTATATACATATACACATGTCTACTCTGAGACCTGATTAATGAATAGTGATGGTATTGATTATATATGATTGTAGTACTTATTGCTAAGCCTCATATGTATTGGCCCATGAAGTATTGTAACGTATTTTGATGCAATGTATTTATTCTTTTACAGGGCCTTCTTCAGTTATTGCCATTAAACTGACATCTACAAAAACTATTTGCCTTTGTGGTATATACCAAACCACTCCGGTTACATGTATTTTGAGACAAGCAATATATATATTTTTAATACAATTCTAACTTCAGGGGATAGCATTATGTTCATTATATCGAACTGTTCGAAACATCCGGTTTCATTATAACAGAAGTGAGCTCAGTATGCATGTTTAGGGCTATGATGAGCCCACAAACCCAATGGACAGATTGTGTGGAAAGTGTGAGTGAGTATGGTTTTACGCCGCTTCAACCAATATCCCAGTAATGCCACAGGAGAGGCATTGTGTGGGCTTGACACAACGTAGCCTTTAGCGTGACGGTCGAACGCTTTATAGGTTTTCAATCCATCCATTACCGGACAAGAACATAATTTTTGAAGTGGTTTCAAATTATTGTAAACAAGCATACACAATGGCTGTGTGTAAACATAAATCATCCCAACGACTAAGATATGTGTCTGATCTAGTTTATAGCGACACCTTCGTCAAAACACGCTGTATATACAACCAACTTGTGAGAATGTCCGGACTAGCATTTCACCTACGTAAACCTCAACCCGATTCACTCCTAAGTACACAGTCAATGTACTTATGCCTATGTAGCCATGGTTCTCTAATATCCGAAAGGAAATGCCAATCCGTGGTGTTATTTCGCAGGACTCCTTGTCTATTTCATCCCACCATGCCCTTTACCTGTCAAAGATTAGAATTTAAGGGCTCTAATAAAAAGATCAAACCCTATTGTTATTCCAGCACCAAAGGCATTGTTTCTGATTAACTTGGGCTTCTCTCGTCGACTGCAGCAGGATTCCCAAAATATAGTGTATCTTCACTCTAGGAACAGGTGAGCGCAACATGTGCCCACCGCGCCGGAATGCCTGCCTAGTCTAAGGCGCTCGCTTTATCTGTGTATTTACAGAGATGTCATGTTCTCAACGTGTGTGAAATGCACATTGATATAAACAAAATGATAATCAATATCACATAGAAAAACATGTCTATTACAAGCGTACTGTAGCTGACAGAGTCGTGACCCTACTCGTGCTTTGCAATAGACACGGCCACGTGTCAACCATGTGATGGATTGTTCTTAAAAAGGGCAGGTTTGTATTCTCGCGGAGTGTTTACGAAACGTTTGTGCGTATACTCATCTTGAGAAACACAAACACGACAATGTTGGCTTATGTGTTGTTTGGTTTGGAGCTCAAAGGACACGTTTTTAAAACGAACCAATGGATTTCAAATGACCATTTTGTGCTCTTCAAGCAAACAACCCCCACATTTGCTAGTTGAGGCAGTGTTGGGTTGAAGCCGTCTGTTTAGATACCATTATATCGTTATATCGTAAGCTGGTTCAATTTGTTACACTGAGAGAATGGTCTCTTAATTATATAATACTGACAGTAAAGAATAATATCGATTTTTTAGAATAAACCTGACAGTATTAGAATATATCTGTAGGATGGAATAATATCGGCCGTTTGAAATTATATCTGATTAAGTGAAATAATATTGGCAGTATTGAATAATATCGGGAGTGTCGAATAATAATCTAATTATGGTCCAATATCAGTATAAAATTGTCACTACACAGGATACAATATTGGCATTGTGGGACAATATTGAAAGTTAATTATTAGGATAACAAATCGGTTATGTTCTCCCTTGTGATGTTACATCTACCTTCACAACATTTGTCTCAGATACACCAGTGACATCTCACTCAGAAAAGTACATTCGTTGTTTCCAACGTAATCGTGCACGGCCATTCGGGGCCATTTTACCCAAAAGATCGCGTTTAACAACCTACATAATGAACCGGGGTCGAGTCCCAAATGATCTGAGCATACTACTCAAAAGAAGTAAGCTGTTAAAGAACTCTTGACTCTGCCATATAGTCCTCTAACCTAGCTGTAGGCGCAGATGCTCCTTAACTTATCCGAATAGTATATACTGTTCTAACCGCCATCTCACCTGTTTCAGCTGTTTCCAGGTATCCTTGCTCCCCTTCCTCCGAACCATTATGATGTACACCAGAGACTTCTTGGACTTAAAGGAAGTCGGAGGCTTGGGACGTTTCCACTGAATGTCCGTCACTCGTGAGTTCCGTCTCGTCTCTACATCTCCCGTGGAAAATGCCCAGCGTTGATTTTTCGATGCTAGTCACATAAAGGGAAATTATTGAATATCTCTGAATCAAGCAGTCTGTATTGCAGTCACTGCCACAGTCCCCGAATACCGTTATTCCCCCCTCAAGGATCTACCGTTATGTCCAAGCCCAGAAAGAAGCAAGGTTGGTTCATATCTGAAACCACTGGGGTTACTTTTCAATTTATATACAATTGCTTGTTTCTGCGAAAAATTATGTTTAGTTCAGAGACTAAGCGTTAGTCTGTCTGCATCAGAGTATAGTGATCTTCAAGTCTATGTAAAGCAGACAGCATGCATGGTGTTATGGATCATATACATTAAAGAGAGACTCGTGATCACATTAAAACTTACTTAAACCCTGTGTTAAATGTGAGTGTGGGAAGTTTGGGTATTTGGGGTATAAGGGCTATCATGATTGTTTGATATGAGATGCAGTGAAACACCACTGTATCGAACTTTGATGAGTCGAACGTAGGTTGCATTGTCTCGAAATGAAAGCCTGGTCCCTATTTAGTCTTTTTGAATGACTATTTCCCTGTTGTGTCGAAAATCGGATAAATCAAAGTTTTAGACTGTAAATATAATTGATCGGAAATATATGGTATAAAGTGTATTGTATCTGAACCATGGCAAACTATTTCCCTGTTGTGTCGAAAATCGGATAAATCGAAGTTTTAGACTGTAACAATAATTCCGCATCGGCATTTGTTCACTTATGAAACGAACCTGTACAATACGGGTACATACACTTAATGTTTGGTCAAGTAGGTTTTTGTTATATGTTGACCTAAATGGTTTGTTTTTTATGTAAAACAACCTCACAACAGCAACAAATATAAACAGCGACAAGACAACTTTCGTCAGTTGATGCCAAAAATATAATTTTAATCCAAGTCTTCTTAAAACAAGTTCTTTAAACACGATTTCGTTTCTTATCCCTTTGAAAAGTGACAAATGAACAGGTTTAATATTAAAATACATGATTTATGTCCATTTTAATCTATATGAATCAATCATGTTGGGGTTTTTTGTGCTGGAAAAATGAACCATATGAAGTGAATGTCATTATTAATAGCTAAGGTGATATGTATAAAATGTTTTTACACAAACAATGTAGTCAAATGATCAATCGCATTTGTTTCAAGTTAACAGGGGCGACATCGTGAACGGCACTTACGTCCTGGCGGCTTGTGTCTGAAGTCGCAGGCAATCTCACACCCACGTGTCTGTGATGAGAAAAAAATGCCATATATTATATATTTATCAATAGTTCGTTTGTCATACATATCCTTTTCGGGAACGACTTTTGCGTTATTAGCATCAACCGGACCCATAAAGAAATTGTCATTGTGGACGTCTTGAGAGTTTGATCGATTGCTATCTACAGCAATAGACAATAGCTGAGAACCAATTAGGTAGTCCCAGGAAGCTTATTTGTCACGTTTCATAAGAAATGAACCAGGATGTACAAAATTGATAAATTGAATGCTTAAAAAATAATATCTTACATCCTTTTAAGCGACCATAGGTGCAACGAGTGGAGGCCATCATTTGTCAACGCACATTCTTTTTTTACATGTAACAAGTTTTCAGTGTTTCAAGTGCACCGGAATGTCAGTTCAACATATCGACAGTTTTTTCATCACTTGGCCAGTCCTTTATCCCATGTATTACATGAGAAGATACATGTAAAATATCACATCAATTTAGCCTAGGTAACACTGTTGGTAAAGACAAAGTTGTCGCTACTTCTTTGACGCGTTTTAGGGCTGGGTATTAATAAAATATAAAACATTTTGTTATGTATTTGGAGGATTTTTCTTTTCGCTGGTTCTAAACCGAAAGATAACTGTAAAAAATATACTTATATAACACATCACTGACTGACCCTAACGATCACTCCGACTCCGCGCCCATTACACACGCAGACGCACACGCGCGCGCACGCACACACACACACACACCGAGGACCATCTATACTATTCGTGTTTTCTCTTTTGTCGCACACTCTCCACTTCTTGGGTTGAAAAAAGTAGGAAATTGAAAAAATGACTTTCTTTTAAACATTGACAAGAATCAGTAACGATGTTTCATGAGGCAGAACGACGGTTGTAAACATGAAGCACTTACGCATACTTTATCCACATTACACACAACTCCGTACAACCGGTACTTTGTGAACAGGTTGTCACAGAAATTCCAACACTGAAACAAAACGAAAGTTGATAATTAATTGTATTGATTATAATACTCAAATGTTTACATTGATACAGACAACATAAGATGTTAACTGACAAATTACTGTATGTGATGTTAGACTTTATCAGTATATTCTATTTGTATTGCCCATTTGCACATTCAATAGTATACATTCACCCTTTAACTAACATGTGACATCACCACATGGAATAGCATTATTCCCGATGCTAAGAATGTTCTCACCACCGGACAATTCTCTTCCAACCTCTCCATGTCACGGTGAGGTGTACATGTACGTCATTACAACGGAGACAAGTCACTCACCATATGGCAGTCGGGCGTTGTCAGGCATTCGTCACCAGAAACACTTTCGTTAAGAAGCTGCAAAGAAAATCATGAAACGATTTAATGATTTATAAAGAAAGAGTGAATGAGTGTAGTTTTACGTCGGTTTTAGCAATATTCCGACAATATCACGGCGGGGGGACACCAGAAATAGGATTCACACATTGTACCCGTGTGGGGATTCGAACCCGGGTCTTCGGCGTGACGAGCAAACGCTTTAACCACTAGGCTACCCCACCGCCCCATATTATGGCATGAACAAATATACAACATGCCAACGCCGGAGTATACCGGGTCTTCTTCTTCATTATAGACAAATCATGGCATACTGAATAATTTGCAAGACATTTGTAATGTCACATTGAGTCGTTATGTGTATCTCACTATAAGACAGAAAGGGCCTTGGGCATCACGGACATCAGATGGATGTCGCAGGTTAGATAAAAAAACAAACAAATTTCGATGCTGGGAACAGACAGACATAACTGTTCCTCGACAAATACACGACTTCACACCTTGGCCTTCACACATTGTACCCATGTGGAGAGTCGAACCCGGACTTCACAGTGACAAGCGGACGCTTTAACCACTTGGCTACCCAACCACCCTACTTTATTGTATGTGTGTATATGTGCCTGTATTGAAACAGATGGTTTTTCTACGTTCTTATTCGTCTCATGACTGATTGACTGAGTGAGTTTGGTTTTACGCCTCTTTTAGCAATATTCCATCAACATCATGGCGGGGGACACCAGAAATGGGCTTCACATATTGTACCCATGTGGGGATTCGAACCCGGGTCTTCGGCGTGACGAGCCAGCGCTTTAACCCTAAGGCTACCCCATCGCCCCTAATCGTCTCATGAAGATCGGACTTAGAGACAATTAACGGGATTGGGTGATCAGGTTCGTTGAATTGCTTGAAGCATGTCATCGTATTCCAAATGAGTATATCAATGCTTTTGATGTCAATCACTGAACTGTCTGGTCCAGACTCGAATATTCACTGGTTGTAACATCACCATCATATTGGTTGAATATTGTTGTGTTAAACAACATCAAACAACAAATATACATTTCCATCCTGCATTTCAAAACATCCGGCTTGTAACTTGAGTATATTTGTGCAGGTATAGGATGACTAACATCCACAGAATCATGCCACACCAACCGGATTTGCCACTTCTGGAGCAGTGGCCCCATGCCTAACGCATTGGAATGGGAACACACGCGTACTTGAAAATAGGCCAATATTGTGCACATTGCACAGTAGCAGTTTTTCATCTGCATCCCTGTCACATCTTAACTCGTTCAGTTCTCGGTTAACTCGCTATCTAGAAAAAAAGACATATTTTTTTTCGATGATGATTTGTACGGAATACGTAAGAGATATGGTATGCCGTACACTTGCACAAGTCTCTAGGGTAATGATTAATAGTTTAAATGATAATTTCTGAAAAAAATATAAAATGTAAATAACAGACTGGCATCCTTTCCGCTAATCTGGACTTGCCTGTTTAAAGGATTGAATTACTAATACATCCATGGGTTTAGCATTCAGTACAGCCTCGGAGCAAGGCTGGGCATACTGTAACGATTTGGAATACGGCAATCATCAGCGATTTACTTCAACTATCTTCAACATCATCGCAAAAGTCGAGATACCTAAACATGACCCTCAGGTTTAGAAATAGTTTTAAAAAACAGACAGATATCAATTTAATCATATCTGAAAATAGATAAAATAACCATGCAGAGTGAGTTTATTTTTACGCCGCTTTTAGCAATATTCCAGCAATATCACGGCGGGGGACACTAGAAATGGGTTTCACACAATTTACCCATGTGGAGAATCGAACCCGAGTCTTCGGCGTGACGAGCGAATACTTTAATCACCAGGCTACCCACCACCCCTAATCATAAAAAGAGGTACGATAAAAAGTAACACGATAAACGAAAAAGAAAAAGTCAAACGGATGGTGATAATCAATATTAATTGATATGGATACAGAGTAGAGACCTAGATTTAAACATATAAACAAAATATCTTGCCGAATGAGTGAGTGAGTGAGCGGGTTAAAGCTGTTATATCAGATATCAGTCGTTACAAGAGAAACGACCGAATACAATATTAGCGGCGTATGGTGATACATGGGCGACTTGAGTGGCTTAATGGTCTAATGGGAAGCCATTCGCGTCAGTAACAACCATTATATCATTGTAATGAGACCCCTAAACAGTTGCCGAGTCAATCTAACAAAACGCTTGGAGAGGATGGGCATTAACTTCAATAATGATTTAAGTGGAAGCTGAGATCAGGTGTCAGGGCAAGTAAGTGATGACATCAGCTGGGTACATAACACATCTTTCCAGGGCTCAGTTTTAAATCACACGTTTAAAGGTACTGGCTGGGATACGGGAGAAACCTAGAATCTGTGAATCCCTAATAACAAAATTGATGTATTATGAAACAGTGTTGGGAGCCTTGTCACGGCATTTGGCAAGCACATGGTCATGTTTTCAAAGAACCGTAAATAATGCATTCTAAACAGACATCTACTTGATTTAGCCAATTAGGAATGCTGCAGTGCTCTTTCTACTTGAATGCTTTACTGAACACAGATGTACAAATCTGGACGGAAGATATCTTATACGTGAGCCGCGAGTTTGGCGTCGTTGCCGGGAGGATGTGTAGCTGGTGTTGTTGCTGTAGTTGTAGAAGATGTAGTTGTAGATATACCTGTATAAGTCAATGTGTGACTTGTTGGTCAGTTTTAATAAATCTGTGTTGCCACACAGAACCAAAATTTTAATGACTGTCATGGTGATTGTTTGAAATAATAGAGATTCTCAAAGTTACATCCATCCATCCATTCATCATCCATCATGCTTCATTAAAAAGACAAGTTTTTAGATTTGATTAAAAACAGCTAAATCCGGTTGTTTTGTGAGGTGAGATGGAAGATTGTTCCAGAGATGAGGGCCAGCCGTTTCGAGTGACCTGTCACCATATGTTTTTGCCCTAGTCACAGGCATTGTCAAAAGACACTGGTCATTTGGTTGTAGCTGTAGTTGTAGAAGGTGTAGTTGTGGTTGCAGATGTGCGAATAATCGGTACAAAGAGGAATATTACGGTAGCTGAATGAGTCGATAAATAAATATTGCATTACTCCGTATTTGACAACAGGAGTCAGACAGCATTTGGTCAATTAATAATATTGACATATTTGTTGTGTATTGTTGAACTCCGCGATCAGCAGTATTCCAATTAATTGATGGCGTTCTTCAAATAGTTTCGACCAGACAATCAAGTGATTGACATTATGACCAATGATTCACGCTGTTGGGATACGCAGACCTCAAGCATGTTACGTAGCATATGTTAGTCACGTTGGGACTCGAACCCGGTCCGTCTTCCTTCTGTATGACGAGATGAACGCATGTCCCACCAGGCTACAGCCAGGCCCCAGAGGGTTCGTAGACTAACGCTTAGCTTCTGTTTTATATATTTGTTTCTATTAGAAAAGGATATATATATATCACATAGATAAATATTAAAACAGAATGCCTTTTTCTCCATTTATTCTCTATAAGGCTCTGTGATATTTATGACTGAACACCTGTACTATTTTGGACATTTTTGGGTATATAGGCTAGACTTGCTTCTTATAAGGAGAAAGTACTGAAGAAAGGGTTAGGCAGAAGGAGAAATAACGCTGGTCAAAAAACCCAATGTTTTTAGTGAGACAGACGAGACGCGTACGGTTGGCTGTGCAACATGACACGGACGTCCAGGGTGGGAGGAAAGAGTGTATGCATCCTCCTGGTCCTGGCGCAGCGTCAACGTCTACATCTACCCCATGACCTGCGTGAGATAGGTAATCACAGCATAATGTAATCAACAGCCCGATGTAAGAAGATCAGCCTGAACCCTGTCCATTACCGTGGGGATTGACCACCTGTTGATTCAGCATGGATCGGAACAACCTGGGCAGCAGGGAAAATGCTGCCATCGCGATATTAACAAACAATAGAGGACTGTATAGAATCTAGCCTTCGTACTACCGTTTAAAACGGTTGTCTGGTCCACGCTATTATTTACAGACCGCAGCTTAAAATATGAGAGAGTGTGGTGTACTTGTATGCGGCAAACCGAATTTGAAACCTCGCATGAACAATATTTAGTTGAAAATATTTAGCACGGACACGAGTTACAGTCCGGAGTTACAACCTGAGCCTGCCATGGATAAATGAATAATATATTTTCGACAAAAACTTAAATTTTGAAATTTATAACCGGGCTGTGAGCCGCGATCTGCCGATCGGGGGTCGGCGTCTTGCTTGCGAGCTAGGGATCCTAGGTTGGGGAATAAAATGGTCCCGAGGAACTTATGTTTTACGTAAAAGGCAACTTCACTGGATCAGTGATTAAGCTTGGTGATTACATATGTTCGTACCCCGAGGGCGAGGAACGGTGCTTACACTATCGACCACTTGTTTTGTCAAATATTTCAAGGTCATCGTGATTTAGCGGAGACATTGCTTAAGACTAACGCTTAGTCTCTGAATTATACATATATAAACACATATATTCATTTAAATTGAAAAGGAGCCCAAGTGAGATTGGAGATTCAGACAGACCTGAGGAAGTCTTCATCTGCTTCATTTAGGGTTTTAGCATCACAGGAAGGGCTAGGTAGTAGGGAAAATAACGTTTTCAGGGACTGTGAGGCAGACTATTGAACCGTCACCAAGCATTAATGGAGGCCGGATCAGTAACGTAACCTTCCTGAAGAATGGATAACCATTATGACATTGAATTCACTTGACGTCATCAATGCGCTGATCTCTGACATTGAGGTCCACAGAACCGATTCAACTACCGCCTCTATGACCTGGAGGTCACAGAGGTCGCCACAGCCAGCCAGTACACCTTTACCATTATGGGGCACACATTTACGAGACAGACACGATTGCGTGGGATAGTTAGACGTCATACTGCCATTTCTCCTTCGAGTTGTAATGAACACCCCTTTG